AATTGTTTCAAATCCTACCCTCAAAACGACACTATAGGGCACGGCACACCAGAACAACTAGACACAAGGACAGTTTTTTCCCAAATGCCATCATTCTGCTTAACAACTAATTCTCACAACTGTCAAACTATTTACTAAGACTGTATTACTGTTATTCTTCTCATCCTTCCTAGTATCTATATCTTCCCACTTACGACTGTAACCACGTTGCTTGTATCTTTACAATTTATATTGTTTTATCTGTTTACTAGTATGATTTGATATCTTATTAGTAACCTTGACTATCACTAAATGTTGTACCTTTTATTCTTGACGAATGTATTTTATTTTACTTATGTATACTGAGAGATTATGCACCAAAGACAAATTCCTTGGGTGTCCAATCACACTTGGCCAATAAAGAATTCTACTCTTTATGAATGGTGATGAGATTCATCAACCGAAGCTAAGTTTTCCAATTTATTTCTTTAAAGCAGCTAGTAGAAAAGAAGACAATCCAAAATAGAGAGAGAAAAATGGCTTTATAAAAAAAAATTCTAAGAATGCTCCAAAGAGCCTTCTGTGTGACATTCAAGAAGAGATTTTTCCAACAAAGACGGTCTGCAGTTAACTACCATGCTTACTGTGGATGTAATTAAGTAAACAATATGCTGTATACTCAAGATCCTGCACGAATGATTTATTGTGCCACACAGTTAAATTCAGTTTCTTCCAATCCACTTGCTCTCAGCACTGTTTGTTTCCCAATAATTGGATACTGAAAATAACAGCCTATGCTGTTGCCTTCCTGCATGCAAAAGTAGATTTTTAGCTTTTGCAGCTTGAAGAAAAAGAGGCAAAGCCGAGCGGAAAGATTGCCCTGTTTGCACACACATCAGTGCTGATTCTGGTAGTTGTAGCTGCACTGCAATTCAATGTAACACAGCTCATATGGCAATACTTGTGTCTTGATTTCTTAATAGAGGGGAAGAATCCTACAGAAAGATGTCTCTGTCCAGCTGTTGAAATTGGTTCCAGTCATTTTCACAAAAAACGAGGCGTGCAGAAAGTTTGGGAGCCCTGCAGAGTGCAAAAACTTTAAAAAAAAAATTTACCTCTTCAAAATCTTGGTGCGTCTTATACTCCGAAAAATATGG